CTCTCTTTCTGTGATTTGATGGGATAAGTGCTAGACCTTTTGTTGTAATCCCACAGGTCCCAGAGGCTCTATTCATTTTTTTTCCATTCTGTTTTCTATCTCTTATTCAGATTAGGTCATTCCAAATGCTCTATCTTCAAGGTCACTGGTTGTTTTCTCTATTCTTTGCGTTCTGCTGGTGGGCCCAGGCATTGAGTTTTAAAAATTTTAGTTACTATATTTTTCAGTCCTAAAATTTCCATTTGATTCTTTTTTATGTATTTTATTTCTTTGTTGAAACTTTTTATTTCTTTTCTGAGACTTTTTTTCTGTTTCAAGTATGTTCATAATCCCTCATGAAATATATTTATAATGGCTGACTTACGGCTTTGTTAGAAAATTCTAACATCTCAGTCTTGGCATCAGTTCTTGTCTTTCTTCATTCAAGTCAAGACGTTCCTGTTTTGGGTTGTTGTGGTGAGTATGATGAGTGATTTTAGAATGAAATTTGGATATTTTGTATATCTTACTTAGACCTTTGGTTGAGCTGATCTTTTTCAGGGGCTACTCCATGAAGGGAGGTGTTTGGGGGAGGTAAGTGCTGTCTCAACACTGCCCGGAAGGGGCAGAAGTCATAGCCTCACCCAGCCTCCATGGACACCCAAGGAAGAAAAGGGTCCTTATTACAGCTGGTAAGGGTGGGAATTCCTCCTCCACCTGACTGAGAGGGAGAAGGGTGCTTTGTTATTTCTCCCTACTTGGGCTCCACTGATACCACAAGGCGGGTAGTGGGAATGGTCTCATTGTGCCAACTCTCCACCTGGCTTCCTCTGACACCACCCAGTGGAAAGGGAGTAACATGCCCATCTGCACTCCAGCTTGGAGTAGAATGCTAGACTCCCCACATGGGGCATGGACACTGCAGTGTAGGAGAGCTCATCACTGCCTGGCAGAGATTCAAGTCCCTGCTCCCAGCTTGGGCTTCTCTGATTTCAACCCAGTGGTCTGGTGAGGGTAGAAGTCTAAGCTCCCAACTCAGCCAGTGAAGTATCCTGCTGGAGGAAAGTAGGTGTTAAACTAAAGTCCTCTCACTTCCTTTGTATCCTTTTCTTGTGTTTGGCTAAAGATAGCTGGATTTGGGGGGTTTGTTGTTTGTTGTTGTTTGTTTGTTTTTGGCCTGTGCTTGTTGGCGTTGTCTGGGTTGTTATCTTCTGAAGCTCTGAATCTGACGTATTTGAGTATGAAGCAAACAGAAAACTTGTGAAATTTCCAGCCATTATCATTCCTCAGGTTTCAAAATCTATAGCTAGTCTGCTACCTTCTCTTCACCTTTCAGATTCTTCTTATATTTGTTTTATATGTAATGTTCAGAGTTTTTAGTTGCACTTAGTGAGAAAAATAAGGAAAGGTGGATTTCCATCTTCTGACAAGAAAAAATCCTTTTTCCATCTCTAAACATATAAAGTATATGTTTACATTGTCCCAGTCTTTTGTTTTTTAAACATTTATTTTATTCATTTGAAAGATGGAGTTACAGAGAGAGGTAGAGACAGAGAGAGAGAGAGGTCTTCCATCCATTGGTTCACTCCCCAGATGGCCGCAAAGGTCGGAGCTGCGCCAATCCGAAATCAGGAGCCTGGAGCTTTTTCCAGGTCTCCCATGTAGATGCAAGGGCCCAAGGACTTGGGCCATCTTCTACTGCTTTCCCAGGCCATAGCAGAGAGCTGTATGGGAAGAAGAGCAGCCAAGACTAGAACCGGCGCCCATATGGGATGCCAGCGCTTCAGGCCAGGGCATTAACCCACTGTGTCACAGCACCAGCCCCTGTCCCAGTCTTTCTTAAAATATTTACTTATCTATGTATCTATTTATCAAAATGCAGAGTGACAGAGGAAGAAAGCAGGAGCTTCACTCCCCAAATGGCCACAATAGCAGTTCTGGACTAGGCCAGGGATTCTACCTGATCTCCCATCTGGGTGGCATGGGGCCTAAGTACTTGGGCCATCTTCCACTGCCTTCCCACATGCATGAGGAGGGCATACGAGCATCCAGTTTAACCCACTGTGTCACAATGCTTACCCCTTTCCCATTCTTAATGTGATTTAGCTTCCACTGGGAGTAGGAAAAGGAAAAAGGGTTATAAATGATGTAAAATTCATTATTATTTTATTAAAAAATTAGTTAAGGTATTTTTCTCTACTACATGCTGTTTTGTATCATTTGGATATATTATCTTTTGAAAACTGCTGAATCCAAAATAAAATGTTTAATTATTTTCTATAGTGTATTAGAGAGGAAAGTTAAAAGGAAAAAGCACTCCTGAGATACAGTCTTTCTTCCTGTTTCTTTCCAGATTTTTCCAAGTGTACATTTTCCTATAGTATGCATGCAGGTACTTCAGAAAGTTCATAGACAAATGGAATTAAAAGATGAGTTTATTCTGGTGAAAAATTTTGAAATTAATGCATTTTTTCATAATACACACATTTTCTATGATTTGTTATTTACTTGAAAGGCAGAGTGACAGAGACAGACAAAGAGAGAGACAGAGAAAGAGATCCTCCATCTGCTTATTCACTCTCCAAATGGCCACAACAGCCAGGACTGAGCCAGGCTAAATCCAGGAGCAAAGAACTCTATCTGGGTCTCTCACATGGGTGACAGTGACTCAAGTACTTGGGCCATCAATTGCTACCTTCCCAGGTGCATCAGCAGGGAGCTATATCAGAAGTAAAATAGCCAAAACTCGAATGGCACTCTAATACGGGATGTGGGCGTCCAAAAGGGCGGTTTGACCCGCTGTGCCAGTGGTGGCTGCCCCTTCCATGAACCTTTTGAATATCCTTCATATGTATGCATATGCAAACATACATGTTTTTTTGTCTGATGATTTTACTTTGATAATATTCTTCATGTTGATGACTAGTGTTTATATCGCTTTCTGGTTGAATTATCTTTAATCTCATAGCCATTTTCATGTCTCAATTTAGTCACTGTTTTAATAACGTAAACATTGTACATTCAGCTTTTTTGTAATGCATTATTTTGTTGTAATTATCTTTAATCTTATAGTCATTTTCATGTCTCAGTTTAGTCACTGTTTTAATAGCATTGTTGTAACTGTACATTCGGCTTTTTTGTAATGTATTATTTTGTTGTAAAGTAATCTCATGTACAATCATTCGCAGAGTCTTGGCATATTTGGTCTGCTCTACTCTTCGTCCACATTCTCTAACCACGCAAGGCGCATTTCCTGCTCTTGGTTTCTGAGGCTCACAGTCTCCCGTTTTTCCTCCTTCCTCAGACTCCTCAGGCTCCTCTGCTTGTTCCTTGCATGGTTTTTGTCTCCTCCTCCAACTTCTGCTCTTTTCCCTGGGTTGTTTCATCCAACCCAGTGTTTATGTCACAGATTCTGCCCACAGACATCTCTCCGCTCCATATCCACATTCCCCCACCTTGGTCTTGCCCATTTGCCCCAGGCAGAAATCCAGGTGTCATCTATGACTGCTGTTCTTTTCTTTTAAGGATGTGTTTATTTATTTAAAAGGAAGAATGACAAAGAGATAGAGACTGACAGAGGGAGAGATCTTTCATCCACAGGTTCACTCCCCAAATGACTGCAACAGCCAGCATGGAGCCAGGCTGAAGCCAGCATCCTGGTCTCCCACATGGGTGGCCAAAGCCAGGAGCCCGTGATTCAGTCTGGGTCTTACATGTGAGTGGCAGGGACCCAGGCACTTGAGCCATCGTCTGCTGCCTCCCAGGGTGCACTAGCAGGAAGCTGGATTTGCAGTGGAGGAGCTGGGACTCCAAACAGGCACTCCAATACAGAATATGGGTGTCACAAGCAGCAACTTAACTGCTGTGCCAAACACCTGCTCCCCGTGAACTTTTGAAGACCTTCATATTTACACACTTCCTTTACATTTATTTAGCTCGTGTCTACTCACCTGTCAGGCCTCATATTACCGTCAGCCCTATGCATCTGGAGGCTCCTCAGCTATAGACTCAACTCAGTGGTGGTTCAAAAATGTTTTTTAAAAATTGCATCCAGGTGGGCATTGTACAGCAGGTTAAACTGCTGCTGCTTGGGACATACACATCCCATATCAGAGTGTCCACTTCGTGTCCAGCTACTCTGTGCTTTTGATCCAGATTCTTGCTAATGAACCTGAGATGCAGCAGATGATGGCCTAAGGTATTGGGCCCCTGCCACCCATGTGGGAGACCTGGTTGGAGTTCCTGGCTCCTTGTTATGGCCTGGCCTAGCTTCAGCTGTTATGGGCTTTTGGGAGTGAACCAGTGGATGGCAGATCTCTCTCTGTATCTCTGTCTGTCTCTCTGTTGCTTTAAAAAGAAAATTGCTCTACTAACATATGTACAGACTTTTTTCTTTGTCATTATTCCCTAAACAATATAGTATAACAACTATTTCTATAACAATTACATTGTATTGGTTATTATAAGTAATACTAGAGATGGTTTGAAGCACAAGGAAGGATATGTGTAGGTCATTCTAATACTCCACCAGTTTCTATCAGTCACTCAGATGTTGGAATCTGCAGGGGTCCTGGGACGAATCCTCCGAGGATACTGAGGGATCATTGTACTTATTACTCATTTAGTCTAATCATATACATACCTGTCTTTCTTTTTCACTAAATTGTAAGCCCCTTAGGTCAGAGAGTTTGTCCTGTTACAGACCTGGTGCTTGCTAAAATGCCTGGCTTCCTGTTGAGTTATTTCTTTAAGAAAAAATCTTTATAATGTTTGCCCAATGTCATACTAAACTTTGAAAAGTTAAAGAATTCATTTAAAGTGATTGTTTGTGGTAAACAGAAGTCTGTGAGTGAAAAATATAACTCACTGTTTCTAAGGTTACTTATAATAATATTACTCTACCTGAGAAGTCATTGGAAAATCTTGCTTGTAGTACCATCCTGACTTGTAAGATATTTTCTCCCTGTTCTGCTACTCCAATAAGCACTTTGATAGTTTCTTACTGTTATTGTTGCACCAAGTCCCACATTAGGAGAAAGTGAGCAGAAGGAAGCTCCAGAGGAATCAGGAGAGGAGGGCACTGCCTCAGCAGAGAGGCAGAAGGAAGAGGACTGCCAGCAGAATCGAGAGATGAAGGGTGAAGAACAGCCCTTGACCGTGAAGCCTGAGGAGGTTGTGAGGCTTAGAGAAGAGCTGAGCCATATCGATCAGAGCCTCCTGCAGTCTCAGAGCTCTGGGGATAGTTCAGATGACAGTAGTGCCCAGGTAGGTGCTGTAAACACACGCTCACATGGGGTTCATTTCCTACTACTAGATGTGAATGTACACTTTTTTAAAACTTTTTTATTTATTTGAGATACACACAGAGAGACAGACAGACAGAGAATAAGATCTCTTATTTGCTGGTTCACTCCCCAAACGCCCACAATAGCCAGGACTGGACCAGGGCTGCTGAAGCTGAGAGTCAGGAATACAGTGCAGTGAGTGGAAGAACCAATCACTTGAGCCATAACCTGCTGTCTCCCAGAGTCTGCATTACAGGACCCTAAGCTGGGCATCAAGCCAGGCATCTGCATATACAGCTGTTACAAAACCAGGTTCTAGGCCGGTGCCATGGCTCACTAGGCTAATCCTCTGCCTTGCGGCACCGGCACACCGGGTTCTAGTCCCGGTCAGGGCGCCGGATTCTGTCCTGGTTGCCCCTCTTCCAGGCCAGCTCTCTGCTGTGGCCAGGGAGTGCAGTGGAGGATGGCCCAAGCCCTTGGGCCCTGCATCCCATGGGAGACCAGGATAAGTACCTGGCTCCTGCCATCGGATCAGCGCGGCGCGCCGGCCCTGGCAGCCATTGGAGGGTGAACCAACAGCAAAGGAAGACCTTTCTCTCTGTCTCTCTCTCTCTCACTGTCCACTCTGCCTGTAAAAAAAAAAAAAAAAAAAAAAAAAAAAACAGGTTCTTTGACTCACTTGCAAATCGAAATTGACAAGAGACCAACATACAACCCAGACAAGCTTATTGGGGGTTTATGCACAAGCACAAGGGAGACAGCATGGTAGGCAGAAGTTTCACTGATGGGCTCCCCAACAAGAGTGGATCAGGTGTTTCTATGGGGATGGGTGGGCGTGGGGGTTTTTCTCCTTAGCAAACAGCACTTTAGTCTGCTCAGTCACCCCTGGTACATGACACTTAAGTTTGTACCTTGCCTGGTGTCCTGTGCAGGCACTGTTGGTTGGTTGATGTGTTTTATTTTTCTATATGACATGTTCAAAATGGTGGTGTTGCTCACTGCCAACAACCCAGGAAGATCACTTAGTCACATTGGGCTATCCTGGACATGTGTGCAGGTTGAAGTCTCTAATAGGGCAGTAGGGGTCTTTTGTGGTTAGGGTCTGGATGCTCCTTGCTCTTGATTGGTTTGGAACTGGAGCTGGATGCATAATTAGGTGGGAGGGGGATGTATATCATTTCCGGTGGAGCTTGATTTTAGTGAGTCCTGCTTCTGTCCTGTCTTAGAACAAGGGCGTCTTAATCAGTGTCTTCACTGCTAGGTTAATTGCCCATCCCAACATCATTTTTTTTTTTTTTACAAGCAGAGTGGACAGTGAGAGAGAGAGACAGAGAGAAAGGTCTTCCTTTGCTGTTGGTTCACCCTCCAATGGCCGCCGCGGCCGGCGCACCGTGCTGATCTGATGGCAGGAGCCAGGTACTTATCCTGGTCTCCCATGGGATGCAGGGCCCAAGGGCTTGGGCCATCCTCCACTGCACTCCCTGGCCACAGCAGAGAGCTGGCCTGGAAGAGGGGCAACCAGGACAGAATCCAGCACCCTGACTGGGACTAGAACCTGGTGTGCCAGCGCCGCAAGGCAGAGGATTAGCCTAGTGAGCTGCAGCACCGGCCTCCCAACATCATTTTTAATCTCATCATTAACATGTACTTACTGAGTGATATTATAATCATGGCATAAATCGTAATACAGTAGCAATTAAAATCTGAACTAAGTCCATCCATTGATGTGCATTTTTACAAACTTTTGTTGGAAAGGCAGAGTGACAGAGAGAGATCTCACCCATCAACTGTTTCATTCTTCAAATGCCTACAACAGTTAGGGCTAGACCAGGAGAAAACCAGGAGCCAGGAACTCCATCTCTGTTTCCCATATGGGTGACAGGGACCCAACTACTTTCACCATCTTCTGGTGTCTCATGGGTACATTTGCAGGAAGCTGAAATCAGAAGCAGTGTTGGGAGTCAACCCCAGGCACTCTGGATATGGGGTGTGGGCATTCCAAGAGTCATCTTAACCTACTACCACCTCAGTTGGTGTACTTTATTATCAAGAATTCTTAAGCTCCATCTAAGCTCATAAGGAAAAATTGCTGATTGATTGTTGAGGTCTGCCCTGAGCAGGTGGGATAGGGAATGTCAGGATAGGTGCTACCTTTTCTATTCCTGATATGCAGCTTCCTATACAAAGTACTTCATTTTAGTGGGGAGAAGACTACAAACACAGAACTATTTTAAAGATGGCTTTTGCTATTTGCTAAAAATCTACTTGTAAGAGAAATAATAGGAGTGACCACAAGCCACATAAATTCTTTCTTATGTCTCACTTTTATGGGCTCTTGTACAAGTTAAGATTTCAGTCCATAAATATTCTAGAACTGATTTTGAGATCCCAAGAGGGAGGCCTTTGTATTCATAAGAAAGCCAACTTCAAAAATCTGATAATTTGCATTTGAAAAGTGATTCAAGTATACATTTGGGAAAAATAAAAAGAGTAACAGTAAGGGAAGTCAAAGGTATATTTGAGGGGCTGGTGCTATGGCATAGAAGAGAGTTATGCTGCCACCTGCAGCGCTGGCATCCAATAAGGTCACTGGTTCAAGTCCCGGCTGCTTCACTTCCCATGCAACTCCCTGCTAATGCGCCTGGGAAAACAGCAGAAGATGGCCCAAGTCCTTGGGCCCTGCACCCATGTGAGAGACCTGGAAGTAGTTCCTGGCTCCTGGCTTAGGATTGACCCAACTCCGGCCATTGTGGATTAGGGAATGTGACATCAAATATTCAGGAAGAGATCAATTTTACAACTCCCAGAAAGTCCCCTTGTTGGGTATTGGGCTAGCAGAAGAGGCTTGAGCTGAGGCTGAACACAAGAGGCTTGAGCTGAGGCTGAACACACAGCCTTATAAATAACAAAGCTCACAAAGGTTATGAAGTGTTTACCTAGGAACTTAAAATGATCAGCATGCCTTTAGAGTATGCAATTTAGAGCATGAGAAGTAATAACTTGGTTAATTTATTAATTTTCTTTTAATTTACACTTTTCCATTGTAATGAAGAATAATTTCTCAAAACCTAGAATGGAGGTGAAAAACTATGAAATATATAAAAATTCTATGGAACACTGGGAGAATAGGCACTTTGTAGAAGAGCAAATATTCCTATATAACCCACAGTCTTTTAGGATTTTGCTGAATTCTAACACTAGTTCAGAAATTTTTTCCCATAATAGTGACCAGGAATTATTGGAAGAAGATTAAATTTTTCTTATTCATTTATTAAACCAATATTAATTGGCTATCTATGATATATCAGATCCTGTATTAAGGCTTATACAGTAATAAACTAGATAGATTTGGACCTCATGGGGAAAAAATAACACATTTGTATTTGAACTTTACATTTCCCAAAACTTTACATTTCCCAAAGCCCTGTTGGATACTTCATTTACTTCTTTAAAACATTTTTTTCTGCCGTGTGCTGTACATTGGTGATTTCAGAACCTCTTTCTATGTGTAGCATTCTTTGGCTAACTGATGGCTGTAGAATGTTCTGCTTTTTATCTGGTCTGTGCCTGTGTGTGTTTGTATGTGTGGCTTTCCTGGTCTTTGTTCCTATGGTCGGCCAGCTGCTATTCTGTGTGTGCTGTGTCTTCATTACCCTCATAATGGACACATTTAAGTAGCGTCAGCCTGAACCAGATACCAAATGTTTAATGTTTATAAGTGTTAAAGACATAGAAAAAGAACTTTGAGAGCACTTTTATAAGTAAGTATGTGAGCTGTTTTGGTCATAAGTATTTTGTAGCATCACATATGAGGCTTAACTTCTGCTGCTCCACAATATTACAGGGTGCCTGATAGCTGATTTCTAGATAACACTCTTGAAGTAGTTGGAACCAGCATTGATTATCTTAATTTTATGGGCTAAAACCTAGTTTCCTGGTTCTTTTTCCTAACATTATTGATAATTTACTATGCTCTAGGCACTATACTAAATATCCTTATGTATCAAACAGTACAATGAGGCAGGAATATTATTGTTGCCTCTATGTAGATACGGAAACTGAGGCTTTAGAAAAGTTACATATTTTTCCAGAAAGGGAAGCTTATTTGCCCATGTTAAGGAAGTGATAGAGCCTGAGTCTGCTTACTCAGGCTCTATCACTTAAATAAGCAGTAAATAAGCTTACTGCTTATTTAATAGCTATGCCATTTGCTTCTACTTGCTGCAAACTTCACAGAATGCTTACAGTTCTCACTCAAGCTGGTGTCCTAAGGAAGACTGCCAACTGGCTCCCAGAAACCCCAGGTGTTAGAGATTTCTTGGTGAATTTAGCAAGAGTTTAGCGCTCAAAGGCCGGCACCATGGCTCACTAGGCTAATCCTCTGCCTGCGGCGCCGGCATTCTGGGTTCTAGTCCTGGTTGGGGCGCCGGTTCTGTCCTGGTTGCTCCTCTTCCAGTCCAGCTCTCTGCTGTGGCCCGGGAAGGCAGTGGAGGATGGTCCAAGTGCTTGGGCCCTGCACCCACATGGGAGACCAGGAAAAGCACCTGGCTCCTGGCTTTGGATCAGTGCAGCACACAGGCTGCAACACCCTGGCTGTAGCGGCCATTTTGGGGGGTGAACCAATGGAAGGAAGACCTTTCTCTCTCTCTCTCTCTCTCTCACTGTCTAACTCTGCCTGTCAAAAAATAAATTAAAAAAAAAAAAAAGAGTTTAGCGCTCAAGCTTCTAGCCTCCAAAACCTGGAACAGATCTGTCTTAGGAATAAATTCACATTAACAAAATTTTCAAAGCAATTAGATAAAATAAGAGCATTAATTCTTCAGTGATAATTAATTTAAAATATCACAGGAGCATGTGTAGATGAACAGTTCAGTCTCCCGGGGTTTGATGGCTGTCTCTAGCTCCTTACTCTGGCTTCCTGATGATGTGGCCGCTGGGAAGCAGCAGGTAACAGCTGAAGTACCTGGGTCCCTGCCACCCACATGGGTGACCCAGATTGAGTTCCTGCTTCCTGGCTCTGACGTGGCCCAGCCCTGAATATTGTGGACACTGGGGAGTAAACTAGTGGATGAAAGAGCTCTGTCTGTGTGTCTGTCTGTCTGTGTTTGACTCTGTGTCTCTCTGCCTTTCAAATAGAAAAAAAAAAACACACACACACAATGATCACGTCACACCTGTTAGAATGGTTATTATCAAAAAGGCAAAAGATAAGTATTGGTAAGGATATGAAGAAAATAGAACTCTTGTACACTGCTAATGGGAATGTAAATTAGTATAGACATTATGGAAAACTGTACAAAGAGTCTTCAGAAAATTCACAGAAAATGCACATTTTAAAATCCCATTTTCCACGAACTTTTTGAAGTCCCCTGTGTAAGGTAATCCATATGACCTAAAGCTATTAACACTTCACATAGCACCTGAAACTGTAAAACCACTAGAAGAAAACATAAGTGGGAAAACTACCTGGCATTGATCCAGGGAATGGATTTTTCCATTTGATTCCAAAAACTCAAGCAATGAAAACAAAAATAGGCAAATAAAATAGCATAAAACTAAAAGCTTCTGCACAGAAAACAATTAGCAAAGGAAACAGGCAGTCTATAACTGGGAGAAAATATTTGCAAGGCAGGCATCTGATAAGGGACTAATGTCCAAAATTATGAAAATTCCTCAAAACCTAAAACTAGCCGGCACTGTGGCTCAATAGGCTAATCCTCCACCTTGCGGCACCGGCACACCGGGTCCTAGTCCTGGTTGGGGCACCGGATTCTGTCCTGGTTGCCCCTCTTCCAGGCCAGCTCTCTGCTGTGGCCAGGGAGTGCAGTGGAGGATGGCCCAAGTGCTTGGGCCCTGCACCCCATGGGAGACCAGGAGAAGCACCTGGCTTCTGCCTTCGGATCAGAGCGGTACGCCGGCCGCAGCGCGCCAGCCACAGCGGCCATTGGAGGGTGAACCAACGGCAAAGGAAGACCTTTTTCTCTGTCTCTCTCTCTCACTGTCCACTCTGCCTGTCAAAAAAACAAAACAAAACAAAAACCTAAAACTAGAATTGCCATATGATCCCACTTCTGGGTATGCATCCAAAGGATCTGAAAGACATTCCTGACTCCAATTTCATTGCAGCATTATTCACAAAAGCCAAGCTACAGAATAAACTTAAATGCCTATCAATCAGTCGGCGCCGTGGCTCACTAGGCTAATCCTCCTCCTGCGGCACCCGCACTCCAGGTTCTAGTCCCGGTCGGGGCTCCGGATTCTGTCCTGGTTGCTCCTTCCAATCCAGCTCTCTGCTGTGGCCTGGGAAGGCAGTGGAGGATGGCTCAAGTGCTTGGGCCCTGCACCCGCATGGGAGACCAGGAGGAAGCACCTGGCTCCTGGCTTTGAATCGGCTGCGCCAGCAGTGGCGGCCATTTGGGGGGTGAACCAATGGAAAAGGTAGACCTTTCTCTCTGTCTCTCTCTCTCTCACTGTCTAACTCTGCCTGTCAAAAAAAATGCCTGTCAATGAATGAATAAAGAAAATTAAGTATATATACTATATACAATGGAATATACTATTCATACTTGAGAGCATGTCTTGAGGTGGACAATTAGCCTAGTAGTCACACACTAGTTAAGACGCCCATGTCCCACATTAGAGTACCTGGAATTGATACCTAGCCCCAGGCTCCTGACTCCAGCTCCTGCTCATGTAGACCCTGAAAGGCAGCAGCCAGGCAGCCATGGCTCAAGTGATTGGGTGCCTGCCACCTGCATGGGAAACCTGGATTGTATTTGCAGCTCCCAGCCAAAGCTGCCCAGTGCAGCCCTAGCCTTTGCAGGCATTTGGGGAGTGAATCAACAAACTAAACTCTCTATCTATCTCTACCTCTCAAATAAATAAATATTTTAAAAAACAGAGGCTGGCTCTGTGGCATAGTAGGTTAAGTCTCCACTTGTTGCCCTGGCATCCCATATGGGCGCTCATTCGAGTCCTGGCTGCTCCATTTCTGATCCAGCTCCCTACTAATAGCCTGGGAAAGCAGTGAAAGATGGCCCCAATGCTTGGACCTCTGCACCCACGTGGAAGACTTGGAAGAAGCTCCTGGCTCCAGGCTTTGAGTTGGCTCGGCTCCAGCCACTGTGACCATTTGGGGAGTGAAACAGCGGATGGAAAACCTTTCTCTCTGGCTCTCCCTCTCTCTGTCTGTAACTCTGCCCCTCAAATAAATAAATAAATCTTTAAAGAAATAAAATAAAAAACAGCATTGGGGCTGGTGGTGTGATACAGCAGATTAAGCTGCCACTTCTGATGCCAGCATCCCATATCAGAGTGTTGATTTGAGTCCCAGTTACTCTGCTTCCTATCCAGCTTCCTGCTAATGTGCCTGGGAAGACAGTGGAAAATGGCCCAAGTACTTAGGCCCTGCCACCCACGTAGGAGACCAGGATGGAGTTCCTGACTCCACCCTGACCCAGTCATGGCTGTTGCAGCCATTTGGGGAATTACAAGCAGATGGAAAATACCTCTGCCTCTCCCTGTCTCTCTATCATTCTGCCTTTCAAATAAATAAAAATAGGTCTTAAAAAAAACAGTGTTGGTGAGTAATAGCTGGAAGAGAATTACTAAGCAGTAAAAGGAAAGTGATGAGGAAAACTAGGAACTTAAGATCTTTTGCTAAAGTTTCTTGCTTTTTGCCAGCAGATACCACATGTGTGTGTGCACGCATACACACATACATTCACACTTATTTCGCATAGTGACTCTTTGAATTCCCCATTTAAAATGTTTTATTCTGAAAGTGTCCGTGCTTCTGTTGCCATTAATTGATATGAAAAATAGGAAGGGTGATTGTCCATGCCTAACTGCTTTTATTCACTTGATTTCCCTGGTATTCTCACCATAACAGGAGTTCAGTTATATGAACATGTAACAAATAGCCATAAATGTAAAAGAGTAATGTGTTGTAAATAAACTAACTGCAGAAACATCTACATGTGAATACTTACAACCTGGGGATAGGAAGTTGGCCTGGTTGTTAAGGACTGGTTAAGACACTTGTTTTCCACAACAGAGTGCCTGGGTTCCATATCCGGCACTGCTCCTGACTTCAGCTTCCTGCTAATTTAGATCTGGGAGGCAACAGTGATGGATCAAATGATTAGGTTCCTGCCATCCACATGAGAGACCTGGATTGAATTATTGGCTCAGCTTAAACCCCTGGCCTGGGGCCGCAGCAGGCATTTTGGGAGTGCAACAGTGGATGAAAGTGCATTCTCTCTCTCTCTCTCTCTCTCTCTCTCTCTCTGCCTTGCAAATTAATTAATTAAAGTAACCAAAAAAGAACTAAAGTATAATTTAAAAGAGAGAGATGCTTTGAAAAAAAAATGACATTTTGATAATTCTGACAGCTTGATCCCATATTTTACCAATAATCTTTCAAACTGCCCTGGTTTCTTTTTTTTTTGAATGTTTGCTTTAGTATTCATTGTCTGGAGAAAAACTAAAATGCCAGCAGCAAGAGGAAGTACAGCAACTTCGCCAGAATTTGCACCGGCTCCAGATCCTTTGCAACTCAGCTGAGAAAGAGCTTCAGTATGAGCGAGGAAAGAACTCGGACTTGAAGCAGCATAATAGTTTACTGCAGGAAGAGAGCATTAAGGTAACTCCAGCGGGCACATCCTTTATTGTGGGCCTCAGTTGGCCTTGGCAACAAACAAGTCAAAATTCTTCAGTTTTATCATTCATGGCAGGATCCACAGATGGGTGAGCCACGTGAACCTGGTACCTCCTTCAATTATTCCCTACTGAATAAGGACACAGCTCAGTTATTTCTCTGCCGTTTAAGGGCTGTATGTGCTATCAACTTGTAGATGGAAAAAGGTTTTAAATTATGCGATCTTGGGGCTGGCATGTGGTCCAGCAGTTAGGATGACCACATCCCTTGTCAGAGCACCCGGATTTGATACCTGGCTGTGGCTCCTGACTCCAGCTTCCTGTCAGTGCAGGCCTGGGAAGCACTGGTGATAGCTCAAGTAGTTGGGTTCCTGCTGCTCACATGGGAGACCTGGGTGGAGTTTCTGATTCCCAGCTTAATGCTCAGTCAAGCCCCAGCTGTCGCAGGTGTTTGGGGAGTGGACCAGCAGGTCAGGGTGCTGTCTCTCTCTCTCTCCTTCCTTGCACCTCTCAGATAAATACATAAACATTAAAATGATGTTTAAATAAATCAATCTTTTGAACTCATTATCTAAAATTTTTAGCACCTATAAATTTCAATGACTAAGCCAAAATACTAGTTGTCCTGCCTTAGTTGTGTATCACTTATTGATCCCTAACAGAGGTATCTATTATTATTGATCCTTTTAAGTATTAACGGCCCGTGATAATATTCATGGGAGGGCAAAGATATTTTTCCTAACACAAGAGCATTATAAGTTAAGGGGACCTCTCCCAAAACACTCACTTTCAAATAATCTATGTAGAGGGTAGGCGTTTAGCCCAGTAAGATACCAGTTAAGACACCTGTGTCCCATATTAGAGGGCCTGTGTTCAATGCCTGGCTCTAGGTCTTGACTCCAGTTTCTTGCTACTGCAGTCCCTGAGAGGCAGCAGTGATGGCTCAAATAATTGAATTCCTGCTACCCACAGGGGAGACCTGGATTGAGTTCCTGGCTCCCAGTTTTGGTCCAGGCCAGGACCATCATAGGCATATAGAGAGTGAACCAGTGGATGAGAATGTATGCTCTCTTTCTCACTTTCCTTATCTCAATACATCTCACATATATACATACATAAAAATAATATATGTAGAGCTGTCACGCAGATTCATCTAAATTTTATGTGCCACATAAATGTTCAAAATTATTCACCAGGGGCAAGCATTTGGCACACTGATTAAGCCACTGTTTGGGAAGCTGCCATCCCATATTGGAGTGCCTAGGATCAAGTCCCAGCTCTACTTTTTTTTTTTTTTAAGATTTATTTATTTATTTGAAAGGCATAGTTACAGAGAGGCAGAGGCAGAGAGAGAGAGAAAGAGAGAGAGAGGTCTTCCATCGCTGGTTCACTCCTCAGGTGACTGCAATGGCTGGAGCTGAGCCAATCTGAAGCCGGGAGCCTGGAGCTTCTTCCAGGTCTCCCACGCAGGTGCAGGGGCTCAAAGACTTGGACCATCTTCTACCGCTTTCCCAGACCATAGCAGAGAGCTGGATTGGAAATGGAGCAGCTGGGACTTGAACCAGTGCCCATACAGGATGCTGGCACAGTAGACAGCGGCTTCACCCGCTACACCACAGCACCAGCTCCCCAGCTCTACTTCTGATTCCAGCTTCCTGCTAATGCACACTCTAGGAAGCAACAGGTGACGGATCAAGTTTCTTGTATCCTTGCCACACATGAGGGAGACCCATAAGGAATTCCAGGCTCCTGGCTGTGGCCTGGCCTAGCTCTGGCTGTTGCAGACATTTAGGGAGTGAACCAGTGGATGAACATTCTCTCTGTCTCTGTCTTTCAAATAAAATGAAAATAAATAAATAAAATTACTCAATTCTATAAGTTTATATTAAATAGTTAGGATGCTAATGGATCCTGGGAGGTAGCAAGCTTTGGGGGAGTGAACTACTGAATAAAAGACCTCTTTCACTCTCTCTCTATATCTCTGTGTGTGTGTGTGAATGTGTATGTGAGATTCTGCCTTTCAAGGAGATGAAAATAAATAAATAAATAAACACTAAAAATTGTTTTTGAATGATCATTTTGTTTGTTTGTTTTTAATCTCCCTCCTCGTGAGGTGAATTATCATCAATGAGACATCAGCCTCTGGGCTAGCACTTTAGATCAGGCACCTAGGTAGAGTCACATTTGATTAACAGTTTGTTCACTTTATGTCTTAAAAACCTCCCTTCAACTCTAAAGGGTCAACCTTTAATAGATAAGGAAACTGCAAAGTTGATATAACAAACTGTAGAGTAAGAACTTATTCTGGCCGGCGCCGCGGTTCAATAGGCTAATCCTCCACCTTGCAGCGCCAGCACACCAGGTTCTAGTCCTGGTCGGGGCACCGGATTCTGTCCCGGTTGCCCCTCTTCCAGGCCGCTCTCTGCTGTGGCCAGGGAGTGCAGTGGAGGATGGCCCAAGTCCTTGGGCCCTGCACCCCATGGGAGACCAGGAGAAGCACCTGGCTCCTGCCTTCAGATCAGCACGGTGCGCCGGCCACAGCATGCTGGCCGCGGCGGCCATTGGAGGGTAAACCAACGGCAAAAGGAAGACCTCTCTGTCTCTCTCTCTCTCACTGTCCACTCTGCCTGTCAAAAAAAAAAAAAAAAAAAACAACTTATTCTGGGGACTGGTGCTGTGGTGTAGCGGGTAAAGAAAGCCGCCACCTGCAGTGCTGGCATCTCATATGGGCGCCAGTTCAAGTCCCAGCTACTCCACTTCCAATCCAGCTCTCTGCTATGGCCTGGGAAAGTAGCAGAAGATGGCCAAAGTCCTTGGACCCCTGCACCCATGTGGAAGACCCGGAAGAAGCTCCAGGCTCCCGGCTTCAGATTGGCTCATCTCCGGCCATTGCAGCCACGTGGGGAGTGATCCAGTGCTGGAAGACCTCTCCCTCTCTCTGCCTCTCCTTCTCTCTGTGTACATTCAAATAAATAAATAAATATTTTTTAAAAAAAAAAAGGACTTATTTTTAAACCTTTAAATCATTTTATTTGTTTTCATTTTATTTGGAAGGCAGAGAGACAGAGACAGAGATCTTCCATCCACTGGTTCACTCCCTAAATGTCCCCAACAGCCAGTCAGGCTGAAATTCCAAGCCTGGAACTCCACCTTGGTTTCCCATGTGGTGGTAGAGACCCAATTACTTGAACTGTCACTTGTTGCTACCCCAGGTGTGCGTTGGCAGGAAGCTGGGTCAGAAACAGAGGATCTGGGACTCTAACCAAGCTCCCCAATGTGGGATACAAGCTTCTCAAGTGGCACTCAACCACTGTCCCAACACCTGCCCCTAGAATAGGAATTTAAAAGCGTTTAAGCCTAGGTCTTTCTTCCACGTGTAGTCTTGTCTTCCATATTACATCTCTCCTCAATCTGGGCTCATTCAGAACCTCAGCTTTGCAAACTTATGGCTCACTTTTTAAAATTCACTGACAGATGGCCAAACACTGAATCCCTAGTTTGTGTCAGGCAGACTTACAAGACTGATTAAGAAACCAGAATACTAATTTATTGCTTTTTGTTGTAAAATATAACATTCAGAAAATACATAAAATGTAAATATACTGTTTCACAAGTTGTTAGAAAGTAAATATCGGGGCTTGTTCTGTGGCATAGTAGGTAAAGCCACCGCCTGCAGTGCCCAGCTGCTCTACTTCTGATCCAGCTCTCTGCTATGGCCTGGGAAAGCAGTGGATGATGGCCCAAGTGCTTTAGCTCCTGCACTTGCATGCACCAGGAGGAAGCTCCTGGCTCCTGGCTTCGGATCGTCCCAGCTCCTGCCATTAAAGTTATTTGGGGAGTAAACCAGTGGGTGGAAGACCTCTCTCTCCTCTCTGCCTCTCTGTAACTGTACCTTTCAAATACATTTTAAAAAGAAAGAAAAAAGAAAGTAAATTTCAAAGTAGCCACCACCCAGAACAAGAAATAGAAGGATACCAGCAGCCAGCAGCCCCTACATGCCTTTTTTCTATCACAATCCCTTCACCTTCCCCCCTCAACAGTAACTGCACTCTTTGGAATTAAACTCTTGGTTTACTTTATAGTTTTACCCTCTAGGTTTGAATCTCATGAATACAGTTCAATTTGCCTACTTTAAAATATTTTTCAAGTATAATCAATATGTGCATTTTATGAATATCTTTTTTTTTTTTTCTGGACAGGCAGAGTGGACAGTGAGAGAGAGAGACAAAGAAAGGTCTTCCTTTTCTGTTGGTTCACCCCCTAATGGCCGCTGTGGCTGGCACACCGCGCTGATCCAAAGCCAGGAGCCAGGTGCTTCTCCTGGTCTCCCATTTGGGTGCAGGGCCCAAGCACTTGGGCCATCCTCCACTGCACTCCCGGGCCACAGCAGAGAGCTGGACAGGAAGAGGAATGACCGGGACAGAATCCAGCGCCCCGACCGGGACTAGAACCCGATGTGCCAGCACCGCAGGCAGAGGATTAGCCTATTGAGCCGCAGTGCTGGCCTGAATATCTTTTTAAAGTTCTCTTTATTTATTTGAAAAGCAGAATGACAGAGAAAGGGGGAGAGACAGAGAGAGATTTTCCATCTGCTGGTTTACTCCTTAAATGACACAAAATCAGGGCTAAGCCAAGAGCACGGAACTCTATCCAGGTCTCCCATGAGAGTGGTAGGGACCCAGGCATTTGGCCCATTATCTGCTGCTTTCCCAGATGCATTGGCAGGAAGCTAGACCAGAAGTGGCAGAGCTGGGACTAGAACCCACACTCTAAGATGGGAAGCAGGCATTGTAAGAGGCAGTTTACCCCTGCACTGCAGCACTCACCTGTCTTCTCATGATCAGCTGTTTGCAAGATTCATCCATGTTGTGGTGTTTAGCCACTGCTTTTCATTTTTTCTTTGCAGTCTAGTGATCTCTTCTAAGAAAATGTTGTAAGTTTTTCCCCCTATGGCTTAAAGACACTTTGCCTGTTTCTTGCTTGGCA